GCCGAGCAGGGAGCCTGATGCGGGACTCGATCCCGGGACTCCAGGATCATGACCTGAGCCGAAGACAGTCGCTTAACCAACTGAACCACCCAGGCGCCCGAACATAAGTTTTTTCAATAAAAGTTTTTGACAGATCATTCTAATTACTACAAAATAAAGAGGAAAATTTAAACATGCAAGTCTAGGAACATTATTTCAATCAGCCTCAGTATCAAGAGTATGCACAGTAGATGTTAAAAGAGGTTTTCAAGGACAGAAAATTTGATGAAATTTTGGAGACCATTCTGAAGGAAAGCAGTAATTCTTAACAAGCCCTAAGTTGAAAGTATTAAAATCAGATAAATTGGTTTCCAGATGATTTTGCTAAACAGGTAGTCCTCAATTTGTAAACTCTATAATCACAAATTACTTTAACATAAAATGGCGTAAGGAGGTAAATTTAGGGCCTTACCTCCTGACAGATTGGTCTTTGTTTCATGATTTAGGCAGCCATGATGGTCAATAATTGCCTCGGATTATTTTTGACAGGTATCTTCAGGGAAAAGACTGTTCTCTGTTTTCACTGGAAAAACTCAAGTCAGATCAAATAAAGATAGTCACCAGACAGGTCAAATAATGACAACTCTTTGGGAATAGGTCTTTGAAGAAGCTCCATCCCTGTTCTTTCCCTTCCATTTGCTGCTAGGCTGCTGGTTTTCACCTTGATTGTGAGCTGTTGGTTTTCAAGGATACCATTCAAGGGGCTAAGGAAGGGTGATGGGACTAGAGCAAGATAAAATGCTGCAAAGCTCTGTGGTCTTACCAAGATTAAGTCATTTTGTTTTCCCCAACAAATACTTCCTGGATTGCTATAAGCCTTTGGTTAATTTCTAGTGTTCTAAAAAAGTTGACTCTGACCATTTTTGCCAATGTTCTTTGTTGCTTTTATGGAGGAGAGGGTGTTTAGACATCCTTACTCCACCATTTTTGCTGATGTCACCCTGATCTCTGTATTTTAAAGGGTTTGCCTGGTGATCCTGGTTACCCTGGTGAGCCAGGAAGGGATGGAGAAAAGGTAAGAATTTTAATACTTTGAAGTGACCGGTTTTATTCTACTTAACATAATCCTTTTCTTTCCCAAGGTTGAGTTCTAAATGAAAAAGTTCTTAATAACCAGCTTTTATATTCAAAACATACCTTCTTTATTCATCTTTTGGTGTTGCTCCTTTTTCTTTTGTATCATTTCTTCTAAATTTTCATTCACTGTCCTAAATCACAATACATGTGGTGGAAATACATGAAGAACTGTTTAACTTTAGCATTTCCATTGTAAAAAGTTGGTGCCTTCATTTTGAGCATGTATCGGCAAAACTTTTGTTCTCTAGAAAGTGGAAGATTCAACACTATTTTAGTGAGGTCCTTATACTAAAAAGGCTTGTAGCTGTGAATTTAGAATGTCTCCACTAAACATTTCCATTCTCTGTGCAATTATTGTCTGAAAGTCTGTGGCTAATTCTTTGTCACTTTTTTTTTTTCCATTTGGCTATACAGCCTGACTGAAGGTCATTTATTTAGTCATCTATTTTAAAAAGTGACTTTGAAAAAAAAAGTGACTTTGAAAGAATGTGTGAAGCCCACATTTCCCTTATTTATAGCAGACCACAAAAATATCCAGTTTTCCAATCTCTGTGGTCTCTAATTGCTTTATATGAAAACCAATACTGAAAAGCTTTGTTTTGCAGGGCAAGGAGGAAATGGTGTTACAAACTTGAATGTACCCAGAGGGTGCATGTTTTAATGGTGGTTTATCTCTAAACTAGATCCAACTTCAAACTTGGACTAGGAGGCACAGCCAGAATAAAGGAAGATCATAAATACTCAGAGAACAAGATTTTTTTTTTTCAAGTAGTAAGTGGAGTGATAGGACTAATTCTTTAAACTAAATGAAGCTTTTAGATAGATGAAGAGTTCCTATGAACAAGTCTAGAACAAGAATAGAGGTCTGAGAGAGACATCTATCCTTAGGTCTTGGCCAGTAGAATAACAGTTGCATATTGTGTTTTTCGTGCTGTTGTAGCTACTGGTTTAGAGTAACCATTTTGTCTCTGAATTTGTCTTTCATTAGTTTCTAAGAGGTAACCCACAAAAGCAATTATAATTAATTAGCTGTTGCTGATTGTAGTTAAGTCCATCAGCTCTAAAATATCTGTCACCAATGGAAGTAACACTAAATTTATGCCCTTGACAAATTTTGTTAAAAGAAACATGGCTAGATGTAAAAAATATAACGATTTTAACGGATTCTAGTGGTACCAATTTTTTTTTTCAGTATCTTCTTTATAGAGTATTTATACTTTGCTAGAAAATAGGAATATTAAAATCAGAGGATGTTGCATCTAGAAATACCTTAGAAGTCTGGTCTATATATAAGGCAGATAAATTCATTGATTTGATCAAGATCGTGTAGCTAGTAAATCTGAGACAACATCACCGGTCTTCCTAGGCTTATTTCAGTACCATCTCATTACCTCAAGTTGTGTTTCTCTTTGAGATATTTTATTATGGATTCCTGGGTCTTTATGAAACTTAGTTATCTGCTATGTTTTTAAGGAAATCGATGTTTTCATGTGATTTTTACTAATCTACTTTACACTTGTATTAAACAGGGCCAAAAAGGTGACATTGGCCCAACTGGGCCTCCTGGACTTGTAAGTTTTTTTTTAGTCTTCATTTATCAGATTTATGAATGCATTTTTATTTTTGTGCCTTAATATCCTCTGTACCTTTTCCTCATAAAACACAAAATTCCAAGTCATTAGTAACTTTTACTGGCTTAAAAGTCTACATCTAAAAACTTCAGTAATGTTGACCTCAATGTCTTTGTATTGTTCTGCCTGTATATTACTTCTCCATAGTAAAGATCCAAAATTATGGCATTGGGTTGTTTTGCATCATGATTGCCAAATTATTTCTCAAGTAACCAGCAGGTGGTGCAGGTGCTGCTTATAAGGGTTCAGTAAAGAAATTTGGGAAACAAGCAATTGGCCCTTTCCCCTGCAGAGCTCTGGAAACATGGATTTGGTCTTAATAGGTTTTCTCAATTTGTAATTGTCTGATTCACACCTCTTTCTTCCTTGGGTATGTGCTTTCTAGGGGCTCTTAATCAAATGTAGGAAACTGCTCTATGAAAAATTAATTTGGGGGTTTACAGATTTTGCCATGTTTGCATTCACCACAGAATTTAAGTCAAATGTATTTCCAATCTTAATAAGAATAAAATATCATTGCTACAGTTTGACATACTGGCTTTCCTTTGGTTGAAATTTGGTAAGACTCTGGGTTTTATACTGCGTTGAATCTGCAAAGGTGCAAGTGTCATAATGTCTATATGTTCAGACATTTGAGTAACATTAATTCTTGCTGTCTATAATCAATCTCAGATATTGATACTTAGTACTTAACAAATCTAATGAGGATATACTTAAAGATCTTAGACAATTTTTATTCACTTTCATTTTAAAATCAGAATTTTCATTCTCTGAGAAATAGTTCCTTTATAAAATGAGATGATAACATTTTGATAAATATCAGAAGAAATGAAAATTTTGAGAATGCAGTCCTATCCAGCAGCTCACTTTCCCTTTTGAACTATCATCTCCATTCTAGGTCCCACAACTTTCAGTCTCCTTTTGTCTGAATATTTCTTCTATCCAATAGAACCAGGATGAAATATTGCACTTTGCCAGTAGGTGTTGATTTGTACTTCAGTCCAACAGTCTCTTAAATCTAAAGCTTAATTATCATTATAGCTCCATGAGATTACTTTCTTTATATTTCAATTATTTAACATGAAATTCTTTAGACACTGAGATTCTAAGACCAAGAGAAAAGGAATGATCAGTTAGTTGATTCTAATCAATAAAGCCATCCTAAAAGAGATGAGTTTGTTTCATTTTGTTTTAGAGGAAGAAAGAAATGTGGGTTGTTAAAGGGAAAGATTGGGAGAAGGCATTATAGATATTTGAAACGGCATATTCAGAGGGAAAGGCAAGAATGTGCAAGATGCATGAAGTGGTTATAATCAGACAGACCTCACTCTCCTAAAACTTCACTGCTAGAAATAATAGGAGATGAAATAGGTGAGAGAGGTCTTGGAAGTGAGAAGAGATTTGACAGAGTCCAGGGTGAAAAGTAGCATCAGACATACTAAGAAGTAGTGAGCAATTTTGAGTCCTTAAATAGGATAGCTAACACAGAGAAATTGATTTTTGAAGAAGTATATTCTAGCAGTAGATTTGGATGGAAGGGGAGAAGCTCCGAGGTGCTTCTGTTAGTCCAAGTGTGAGATGGGCATAGTAGCTGTGGCAACAGGAAAGAAGGAGGCAAATTAGAGACACATTTTCAGTAAAGAATTATTAGGCTTAGGTAACTGGAATGAATTGAATGTGATAAGAGAATTCAAAAATAATTCTACCTCCGTAAGCCTGGGGCTCAGGAGGGTGGTAATATTATTACTGGTATTAAACAGTTTCTAATCAGTTGAAGGATAGGAGTGATACAGAATGTGACTGATAATCTGTGTAGTAGTCTTGATGATTTTGCACTCAGAGCTTTGTGAAAATGATGGCACTGTAATCGTATGTAGCTGCTAGATTATTTTTAGGAGAACAGGCCTCTTCCTCTTTGAGTTCCTTAATTTTTTTCTTTCATAATAAAGGTAATTCCTAGGCCTGGGACTGGTGTAACTGTAGGGGAAAAAGGAAACATTGGGTTACCCGGCTTGCCTGGAGAAAAAGGAGAGCGAGGACTTCCTGGAATACAGGGTCCACCAGGCCTTCCTGGACCTCCAGGTAAAAGAGACTGTACTTAATGTTCTTGTGTTTATAGCATCTTTGCTAATTCACATGTCCAGTATTATCGTACTAGTTCCAGGATGAGCATAGCAGTAGAAGACATGAGTATCTTTTAATTGACGGAGACTTCTCAACTCATACTGTAGCCTTTCTCACCAAATTTCTCACCTGTACTTTATTTTTTTTTAATTTTATTTTATTATGTTATGTTAGTCACCATACAATACATCCTTAGTTTTTGATGTAGTGATCCATGATTCATTGTTTTCGTATAACACCCAGTGCTCCATGCAGTACGTGCCCTCCTTAATACCCATCACTGGGCTAACCAATCCCTCCTCCCCCCTCCCCTCTAAAACCCTCAGTTTGTTTCTCAGAGTCCATAGTCTCTCATGGTTCATCTCTCCCTCCGATTACCCCCCTTCATTTTTCCC